TTGTCTTTGTTTTCCTTTTGTACAGCTAGCAGTTTTTAAATAAACAGTGTTTAGCCACTGGGCATTTTTGAGACTAGTATTTTTAATTGCAACAATCTGTTTGAGCATCCAGAACAAGTAACTTGAGGATACTGTACAGCAAATTTTCTTGTTACAACCATGCAACGCCCAGTGTTAAAGTGGCCATTGTTAAAAAAGCCAGCATTTAACAGAACTAAAGCTGAATAAATACATATTTTAAAGCTACATTACTTGACTAACACTTGCACTGGGAACAGAACACATTCCATCAGTGTTTCAAAGTCTTGCAGACTGAGCTATCACAACCCAAGTAGTGATTACATGTTGTTCAAAAATGTAGCACCCGTATCTACCTTCATCCACTTAAGTAGTTCCCTTAAAGCCAGAGGAGCTACCAGCTGACTAAAACAAACCATTAATCTTGGCAAAACTGGATTCAAAATGTTGATCTTTTGTGGAGCTTTGTTAATTTCCAGATTGAAAAAAATGCTTCACGTACTATTTAAAAGTATCTGCTTGTTAAAAAGGCCTTTGAGCATAGGCCTTTGTATTTTCTGTCCCTGTTACTCTGTTTCAACTTGTGACACAAATCTAAATGAAACTTGTTCATAAATTGAGAGAGGAACTTAAATGCCTGCAGAAATGATCTTCCTCATGTATGTAACACAGAAGACAAAGAGATTACTTGGTGAAACTGCCTGAGGAACCAGATCTGTAACAGCCAGCTCTGCCGGCCGGGGGAAGCCACGCACATCCACCGAGTTGTAAGAGATGAGGTTCTGCCCTGCAATGCAGAGTGATCAGTAAAGCAAAGAGAGACTCAACAAAGGAGGATTTGTGTGACTGCTGGACAAACCAAAACTGGTTTCACGTATCTAAAGAAATGCAACAGATGGGTGGTGTTATATCACTGCAGAAATCATTGCATAATTCCTAACTGTCTGGATAGCTCTGATTTTTCTGTCATGTCCTCTGCTTTTTTCCAGTGTCTGTCAGTAGGCTGTAGTGGAATCATTCCCAATTTGTGCCAGTTTAAACAAATTACAGCTTTACATTTTGCAAAAGAAAGATCCGATACAGCCCACTTCCCAGCCCTCTGTACTTCCCTCTCCTCAGCACTTTTTACAGTTTTCCTTCAGTAGAGGACTTGCCCAATTCTCACTTGCTTTACGCAGGCCAAGCATTTTCCTCAGAATATGAGAACCACCTATAACAGATAGTCCAAGTCCAAACACTTGCAATATATAAAACCTACCCCAGGGTGCCGTGGGAGAACTGAACGCTCACCCTAGTGCCAGCAGTTCTTCCACAGGCAGCTCTTGATCAGACTCAGCCTCCACTTTGGCTCCTGAGCTGCAGTCAGGGTTGTGACTGTGCCTGTGTTAGAGCCCCTCATTTGGCAATGAGAGGCTCCCCTAAATTGTTTGTCGGGAAGTACAGCCCCATGCTTGCCACTCTTGGAGCAGAGCTTGTCACACGACTGTTGCATGGAAGCCCTGTGGTTGCCACCTGTCACCTAAATGATCTGAACACATAAATGCAGAGAGATGAGCACTTTGAATCTAGCTCTCGTTAGCAGAGTGTGTGGTGCGTTTTTCTGCTAAGCAAACACACCTCTTTGCAGTCCAAGCTGTCTGGGCTGGGATTTCAGAGAAATGATCAAATATTTCTGTTTTATTTCCTGCTCATCCCTCCATCTCACTCCATGTGTCACAAGTTTAGACTTCCTGCTGCTCTGTGAGGGGGAGTTCTGTCAGCTCATCCTGGCAGGCTGTAAGCCCCATCCTTTGTAATTTTAGCTTTAAGGGAAACATCCCTTGCTGCTGTCCTCTCTCCATGTTTCTTTAGATCATCAGCTATCTTCCTCCTTGCTCCACTCACCTTGCACAGATTTTCTATGACAGGTAAATAAAACTTAGGAAAGAAATCTGGTTTTAGCCAACCGTGTCCCAGCCAGACTCCAGACATCCCCCTTAATGCAGACAGGGTACCACACCCTCCCTTAGTCATGCAGTAACTCGACTAGACTTGGCTTTTGCTTGTTTGTACCACCTGATTTATACATAGGGTTAAAGACCATAGGCTCAGCGGTCTATAGTAACTGAGTTATTAATTGCACGTTGCCAGATGTGTGAGATGTTTTACACAGAGAGAGAGAGTGAAAGCAGGACAGGGGCGTCAGCCCTGAAATTTCGCAACACAGAGACAAAATCCTGGACAGGAATGTTGTTTAGAGGAAAACAAAAACCTTTAGGAAACTACTACCTCGGCTCAGCAGCAACCTTATTCTGTCCATTGTGCTTAATATAACTGAAGTCAGATCAGGGTAAATGCTACCCATGTCAGATGGCTGCTGTATGTTCTTACTCTCAACAAATTCCATAGGGGATTTCACCACTGCCTTCAGCATGTGTTACTGCAGTGGACAACACCCCACACACACGTAGTTTTCTGAAACCTCAGGCTAAATAATCCTGTTCTTACATTCTGCCCCTGTTCTCTGTAGGTAAAAGTCTTGCTTATGCTTGCTCTGTGGACTGACCTGCAAAATACTTCTTTTCTTTTGTTGGCCTTAAAAGCCATTCTCCAGATTTTTTCAGGATAGTTTCATTCTTAACCATCACTTGGATCACAGCCAGTGAGAAACATTCATCTCTTAAACTTTACAGCCTGGTACCATCCTCGCCTTCTCCTGTTCTCCCCAGGCTCTGCTTATCTTGGTGTCACTAAGGAATGCAGGGCTCATCCCGAGCATTCCTGCAGGCAAAGGGGTTTTGTCCAGCACTGAATCAGCCCCGGGGAGGGGGTGTCTGGTTCAGCTCTTTGTGCATCGTCCATGCAAAAAGGCTGACAAAAATGCCTGCCTTTACTAAACATTCCTGCAGGTTGCCACTGAAACTCTTAGAAAAGTAGAAAAAAGGAGAAGAATAATCTGAAGAAACACAGCAACGTGAGAATAGGCCAAAGTGACTCACAAAGGGGAAATCTCTGCCTGCTGCTACCACATGATTTCAAAGAAACTGGCGAGAGATGGCTGCTGTCTGCCCTGGAAAACCTTAACTGATACCTGGGCAGCTGTTTGAGATGCAGTGCCACAGCAGGAATATTCCAGATGATTAGAGTTCAAACTAGGCAAAGAGCTGGGAAAATACAGTGCCTGCCTCAAAAACTAGGCATCAAAAAAACAGAAACAAAGGTGGAAAACAAAAACAGAAAAAGCTCATTTTGCAAGGGTGCTCTGATTCTTTGTAAGAGGTTCTCCATAACAGTCAGAAATCAAGCGCATCCAGGCAAAGACTCCACCTGGATTTCACCTTCACTGAAATGAGTGGCCCGCTTGCTGGGCAGCTTTTCCAGGCTTACAAGGCTGCTTGTCTCAGCCTCCAAAACGAAACGAAACGAAACTAAAAAGTCAGTAAGGTTGGACATACAGGTAAGGCAGTATTTGGCTCACCAGGTTTCATGGATTAGTTTTTAAAGAGATCAAAACCAATAAAATAACCAATGAAAATGCACTGTCTGTAAATACTGAGCTAACGGCCACAAACACAGCACAGGTACTTAACAGCCCAAGGCAAAGCAGGGGCACCTCCCTGCTTCCCAGCTTCTCAAAGAGAAGCTTTGCAGGCAGCAGGTCTGCAAAACCAGAGGCAAGGCAGGGTTTCCACCGGCCTAGCAGAGGTTGGACTTCCCTCCTATTATACCAAATTCTTCAGATTTTTTTAACCTGCTTCAATTTGCCCTTTGAACCGCAGATCTCTGAAGGTACCTGTAAGTGCGCACGTGCCCGCCCTGCACGCTGCCCTAAGCACAGGCCTGGAGCTGCTCCACCAGGGTTAATCTGTGGGATTAGCCTCTCATTTAGGAAACTATTTGTCTTGCCTTCGAGCCATTCCACACGGGAACAACCCGTACATCTCGCCCATCCTCCAAGGGAACCGCAATGGCTCCAGAGAGTCCTACTAAAAGACGGTATCTTGTTCTGTGGATGTTCTGGTGTTTTTCAAGGCTCTCTCCCCACGCAGATAATGAACAACACGGTCAATAGATAAGGCTGGTGTACATGCAGACTCAAGGTTTTTGGGAAGGCAAGACCTTTATCTGCACTTTGGCACCAAAGCATACAGGTCTGTGTTGCCTTCATGTCATGGGTCTGTTTTGTTGTCCTGACAAATGAAAAGCACTGACTACTGTTGTCCCTGGAAATTTTAATCAATTGTCTTATAGTAGCAACTGAACAACCACCCTTTTACTTTTACTTTGGAGCAATCTCTATCAATCCATCCCCTTCCAGGCCCTGGCTTTACTCTCAGCCCTTGACCAGCCTAATTATTATTTGAATGGTGGGAATGCTGAGAAACCCAGCTCAGGGCAGGTCCCTTGCTGGGAGATGCTTTACATTGTCAGTCTTACTTATCCAGCAAAGGATGAGAGAAGGAGCAGGAAGGGAATTCTCCCAAGCCACACATTACAGCAGATGCCAAACAGAGAACACAACCCACGCACAGCAGGACTGAGAGAGGCCTCCCAGGTCTGTCACGTGCAGTGTGAAATGCCACAGGCCTTCTCCATCGGCCAAGAGAATTCCTCTCTGTGGGAGCGGCAGGTGAGAGTTTTGCTTTTGACATTCCCCAAGGGCCTCCTTAGAAAAGTCATTTGTCCTGCGTGAACATTTCCAGGACTTATTCCCGACTGCAAGAGTCTTAGAAAGACATATAAACACTTGAAGCCTTTTATTGGCGCCTAGAGAGCGACCAAAGCCCGTGTCAGCGGACAGAGCCTTAGCCTGCCATCATCCTGACCTGTCAGCAAAGAAACAATAATTCCTCTCCCTTCCCCCTCTGTCAGAGGAAGACGTGAGAATTGAGACAAGAGACACTGATCTTTTCCCTTTACCCCCCTCTGCTTAGACAAAGACAGAGGGAGCAGCCTTGCCTGAGTGTTGGGAAATAAGAGCCCTCCCACCCACCTCCCGCTAGGGCCAAGGGAGCGGGAAAGCTGCCTGGAGCCACCCCCTCTCCAGGCAGGGGAAAGCTGGATGCGGGGGAGCGAGCCTGGAACAAACCTCGCCTGCGTTTGTGGGCAGAGCCGCGAGCAGGGAAAGCTGGGAACAGAAAAGAGGCATTTCATGCTCTCGGCTGAGTCACCGAAGTGTATAAAATCAAGGCCAGGCACTCGGAGTCACACAGAGGGGAGGCACGAGGCATCAGGACTTCTGGACAGGTACGTGCAAGCGGACACGGTTTAGAGCCAGCAACTAAGATTAAATCTAAGATCAGGATCTAGCAGTCCCATTCCCTCCATCCTTTCCCTGCCATGTGCTGGGAATCCAGCAGCTCCAGTGACCAGGAAGCCCTGAGGCTGCTCAGCTCTTGCCTAGTTCCAGATGACAAAAATGACGCAGGCTATCAAATTATACTATTTTGCTGGCCCCTACTTTAAACATGGGATGGCAGCAACAGCTGACGGTCTGGGCAAGACCTGGCACCATTCAGGGTACAGCAAGTAGCTATTAAGGTTTGGAATAAGTTAGACATTTCATACTACATGGGGGCTTCAGTCACCCCCCTAAACTGTAATATATTTTTGGATGAGGAACAAACATTATGATGCCTGGCAGCACAAAAGTCATCTCAGAAAGAAAAGCACTAGTTTTGGGCTGTGGTTCATTTCCTCCTCTGACACAGATTACCTGTGCAGCCTTGGACAAGTCATTTAGGACTTTTTTTTAATTTTTTCTTCTTTTTTTTAATGACAAAGACAAAGCTGGGGTGGGATGAGGACAGAGCACAGAGGGAACTATAACACTGAGTAACATGCTTCTTGGCACCAAGGCCTTTCAGGCCGTGATCCAGGAGCACTCTCCATTTCTGACCACTTTCACTGAAATGTGGTTCAGAAGCTGCATCTTTTCAGCACATCCTTTCCCCAGGAGTTGGAACATGTAGCATGGCTGCAGCGCTCACCTGCTCCCCAGCCCCACACCGCCTGGCAGACGGGCTCCAGGGCACTGCCAGTGGGTGAGAAGCAGAGGAGCAGGGCAAGTCCGAAAGTGCAGCTCTCCTGCAGCTTGTCCAGTATAGTACCAACCAATATTTGTACCCTGGAGTAGCACTGGCCCTCCCTCGTACCTCGTACGCAGAGGCAGCCGAGCACAGAGACTGGGGAGCCCACCTGCTGCTGTTCTGGGCACTGGACTGGTACCAAGGGTACCAGCGTGGGAACCAGACATGAGACAACTTGGTTACTTTCAGTATGAAAAACTGTAGGTATGCTTAGACTGAGATTGCATGATGCTTCTGTCCCCAAGGGTTCCTGTTTATTTAGGCTTAATTACAGAAGAGACATTAATTATCACTTCCGCTGTCTGGATGCAATAGGAAAGGGCTTAAAAATGTTTCACCTTTAAATAGCTTGTAGCTGCCTGGAGAGATTTAATTTAGCTCTTAATACTGATGTCTTGTTTTCCCTTCCCTGAAACAAAAATCAAACAGATCTTGCAAGTTAATTGCAAACCACTCAGGAGAAGGATGTTTTCACGTTTGCTCATCCTCACTCTTCTGGTGGGGAGCACAGCATCAGGCCCCGTGAGCAAAGCAGAGTCTGCAGCATCCAGGGATGTCACCACCTTTTTCCAGCTGGCTCAGGAAGACTCTTGGGAGAACGTTAATCTCACAAGCATGTCCTGTGAGGATCAGAAGAACAGGACCTGGATCACCCTGCAGCTGACTAACAGCAGCCTGACAGCATTCCCTGTCTGCCTTCCAGAAACCCTGGAGACCTTGGATCTCAGCAACAACCTCTTAGAAGAGGTGAACGGCACGGAGATAGCAAACCTCCCGCGGCTGCGCATCCTCTCGCTGAGGCAGAATCATCTCCAGGCAGTCAGGTGGGGATCCGAAGCCCTCAGCAGTCTCATCTCTCTGGACTTAAGTTTTAATAAACTGTCATCTGTGCCATCATGCCACAGCTCTGCCCTGCCTAACTTGAGGTGGCTGTCCCTGGCTGGAAATCCACTGATTGAAATCCAGTCGCTGGCTTTTTCCTGTTACCCTCAGCTACAGTTCCTGAACATCTCTGCAACACTGCTCGGGCAGGATGACAGCAGGGGAATTAGCAAGTCTGCTTTTGCCATCAGTGCATCTCCCAGTGAGGCCACAAACAGGCCTGGAAACACTATCAAAATACTTGATCTGAGCGGCACTTTTCTTGAGAAAAGTAAGTTTCTGGATTTCTCACTGTAAACATGGGGCTTGGTCAGGCCAGGGGGAGCAGAAGCCTTGGTGGGACGATGGCTTCCATCCGAGCGGAGCCCGGGGTGGAGGGGGAATACCCCATGCTGAAAGCTGCAAACAGCTGGTCCAAGCGTGCACGGCACTCTCCAGCTGTGATGCAACTGCTGGGGGGGAAACCCCCACGCAGACCAGCCTCCCAAAAGAAGGGCAGAGAGCAGACCCACCAAGCAGGACTGTTTGTCTCACTGTCGTCCCCCACCTCTATCCCAATTCCACTGTCAGCCCTGAGATTAGTTTTGGGACATGCAGGAGGAAGTTTGTTTCTCTTGCCAGACACGCTGCTGAAATTTTTCTTTGTCTATGGCCAGAGTTACACTCTGCTTTACACCACTGTACTGAAGTTGCACAGAGAGAGGCTTTTTGGGTCAACCGCAACCAGCCAAATACTTCCGCACAGGCAGACAATCCCTGCCCTGAGCAATTTACAGCATGACTTTCTTCTTTTGTCTGCCTCCCCTGCCGGCCTCAGTTCAGAATTGAGGTGCTGGGACGGACAGATGTTAGATGCCTTGCCCAGCTGCTCTCAGCCTGGGGCAGGGCCAGGACCTTAGGGACTCCTCAAACTAGAGGTTTCACCTCAACTCACATTTAACAGATACACCACCGAGTTTCCTCCATGAATTTGCCTAATCTCTCTTGTGGTAGAGAGTTACATGATTCAGTCGTGGCACAGAAAGGCACCTTTTTATAAGACCTATTCTTTCAGAATCATGCCTCTCAGTTCTTTTTCCTGTGCTAGGAGAAGTAAGTTATTTGCCTTTCTCACACCAGTTAGGACTTTGTAGACCTCTCTAATCTCCCCCCACCCACCACTTCTCTGAGCAGAGAAATCCTTGTTCATTTAATCTCACTGAATAGGAAAGCTATTCCATATCTCTTATCAGCTTTATTGTCCTTCTGTCTTCCCTTCTTTTCCTCTGTGCTACGACAGCATGACTTGCAGGTAATATTATAAAAACGTGATTGCACGGGTGTTTATACTCTGCTGTATTGATGCTTGTTCTATTGCTTTCCCAGAGAGAATAGCTGCAGATGACCATAGAGATATTTTTATATCTCTATGAATTCAAAACTTTTTTTTTGGCAGAAATCCACAGGAATGTTCTATCTAGACAACAGGTATAAATCCTTTTTCTGCTTCAGTTCAACCAGAGTGGACCAGAGACTTGCCCAACCTCAGATCACTTTACCTAACAAAGATGCCACGATTAAGAAGCCTCGATACTGACTTCTTCAAGTCCATGCCTGGCCTCCGAGAGCTGAACTGTCAAGACTCCCACTCATTGAGTTTCGTGAGGACAGAGATGTTTGACAGTGCTCCTCATCTGAGCCACCTCTCATTTGAGAAGTGAGTTGTCTTCTTTTTTGTCTTTTCTCACATAAGGCTGCCTTTGTCTTACAGCACTGTGGTGCCTGGGAGCCGATTTTTATGCAGAGTTTGCTTGATATCAAGTATTTAGGAAGGAGGTACGGGATTGCGTGCCATGGAGAAACATGCTGTCTTATACTCGGGTATGTCATGTAGAGCCTGTGATGTAGACCTGATAGAGCAGAAGAGCTGATGCAGCCCAAAGAGGTATGAGGATCATAGCACAGTTAGTGGTTGCTCGAGCTCACATCCGGTGTGCTCCCATTAGATTAGCATAGATCCACTGAAGCCCACTTGTGATACAGACCATGCTTCCAACATCCACAATGGCAACCTCTCACCAGAGGAGAATCAGGTCACTGAAGATTCCTTGCTCTACAAAGGATGAATGCTGACAGTTTCCTAAAATCTGCAGTCAAAAATCCTGTCCCTTCCACTTCTAGTGTGACAGATTAATATAGTTCCTTGTTCAGTATTAGTAAAGGCAATGGTTTAGTCCTTATTCTAGGGTTAACACCTCAGTGTGATTTTCTTCGTATGTCACACGTCCGTTGAAATACTAAGGGAAACAAGTCTGAAAGTTATTTACCAAAATAAGAGTAGGTGAGCTGCACACAGAACAGTCTGCATAAAGGAAAAGATTTCTATAATATAGGCCCAGATTGTAAACCAATCAGAAAACAAACACTAGAACACTGGCTGTGCTCTAGGAACCAATTTCAGGAAAATAAACCTATTTTAGCAAAGAAAACCCAATGGATTCCATCTCCCACTAGATTGCCACACTGAATTTATACAGCACTTTACCATACCTGCAGGAATACCAGTTCGAAGTGCTAAAAATCACTACCCAAACTTAAAAAACAAAGGAGTAGCCATTAAAGTCATAGAAGAGAGCATCTGAGCATTCAGACTGCAGGGATGTCATGTTACCACGCTCTTTCTGCGGCTAGGACAGCTTAACAGCAAAGGCAAGCCAGGCCTGCCTGTATTAGTCATCTGACTTCAGAGGCAATTAACATGAAGAGGATGATTAGCATAGAGAAAGTCAAGCCATAGAGAAAGTCCAAGCAGACTGAGAAAGAAGCTAGAGAAATGGTATAGTACAAAATTGTAGCTGAACGCACAGTGGCGGAGAGATCATCTTTCACAATAGTCCCTTGCCAAATGCTAGTGCCTTTCCCTTCCAGTTGCCATCTCTAAAGGTATTATCCCCTTAGATGCTTTTGTTATCCTATAACACACAGCAGCTACACTGTGCAAATTAGAGAGATGGGCAGGAATAAGCCTGGACTTTAAAGTGCAGAATGGTGATGTTGGTAACTGGCTGCTTCCGAAGGAACAGGGAATATTGCTTTGTGTTTTATACACACTTGGATACTAGGCACACTCCAGTCCTTGGAAGGTAGCTCAGTGTTTGCTAATTATTGCATTTGTCATCTTGTAGCTGTAACCTGAGTTCCTTTAATCCTTGGAATATCAATTCATCGGATAGAATCATCATCAACTTGTACGGAAATCCTCTATTATGCGACTGCCAGCTCTCCTGGCTGCTCTCCAAGCCCAAGAAAGTTGTGCTGCAAAAGTAAGTGAGTTTGAGATAACTTGCACATTTGTGTCTGAAGAGCATTAGTTTATTTGGGGACCAAACATTCACTACGATCTAAGTTATTCAAATCCCTTGTGTGTTCTTCATTCTTCCCTTCCACCAGAGGTAGAAATGCAAAATAAAGTCCCCTTAAGGGACAAAGCATGGCTGAATTATACTTGAATGTGGACAAATGCGATATAAAGTGTTAATAGCTGTGGATTGTACTTTAAGGTGAGAATAGCTTATTTTCTTTTCTCTCTGTTTCGGTTCATCTTTCTCTATTAGCTGGAGATAAAAAATGGGCTGACTTGGTGGCCTTGATGGGCTGGCGCTGGGAGAAGGAACTGGAAAACTTAAGAACTTTAGCAAATTATTTCCTCCTTGCCCTTGCATTCCCAAAGCCTACATCTGCACAGACAGTCAACAAAACCCCTTGCAAATAGCACCATTTGTCACCTATTGTTTTCATGCCCTCCTACAGTTTTACAGACTAATTACAATAGGCTGTAGTTAAAAGAAGTATTTTGCATATGTATGATCTCTCCTCCTTTTGAAAGGCCACCAAGATTTGTCATCGGAAGAGAGCAGGGAAGTAGGTTAAAATCTGGTTGTTTCTCAGCAGGATGGGCTTAGCAGTTGCATTCTTTACAAAAACATTCAATGTCTGAGTAAAGAAGTCGAGCTTAGTCATTTAAAAGCACATCCTGTGTCAGCAGAGCTCCAGCTGCCTAAACCAGCTGGCTTAAGGATCTTGGGCACCTTGTTACATATCTCTGCATGTGTTCCCCTCTTAGTGTGGCGTTAAAGTCTGACCCTTTATGACAATTTGCCTTGAACCCTGACACTCTTGCTAAGGTTCACGGTCCTTGTACCAAAGGGTGCTTCCTCTCAGGCAAAAGATGTTCCTGCACCTTACAAAAACAAAAAGCCAGTCAGCTAAGCTCCCAGTGCTGTGGAAAGCCATCTGCCAAGCACAGGACTATTGCTAAGACAACATAGCTTTAGTCTAGGTTTCATGTCTTTAATATCAAGACAGGGTTTGGACAGCAGGTTGCCAATTCCAATCCAAGCAGCCTTACAGGAACCTGTAATGTTCTTGTGGATCTTTTCTATTCTAACTTTCTGTTCTCTCCAGGGCTTGGGAGACTTTTTGCAATACATCCCAGGAAGATTGGGGCAGCCCCTCAACTTCTTTTTCACTGCTGGAGCTCTACGATAAATGCCAGTCTGAGAGAAACGTTACTCTGCCTGACTCAAACACAGCCTCTCCTGAACATGATGCTTTCAGCCTTACCAGTTACAATGCCACTACTGTAGTAACAACAGCCTCTGCTCTGCTAACCAAAGACACTTACACCAGCTCCCTAATTCAGAGGAATGTAATGAGCACAACGGCAGCCAACCCCACTGACCTGATGCTGACCAAGGCCAACAGTTCCTCCCACGAGGAGGAGGCAGTTTCCGAATCCATGAGCAATCCCCCTTCCTTCACATCTGTAACCACCTCCCCCTCCCCGAGTTTTCTCCAAGAGCTTTATAGTCAGTCCTCAGATTATGGCTCCACGAGTCAAACTGACACAGATCAGCTAAAGGGAGAGCTCAGAACAACCGATGCGACGTTTCCCCAGGAAGACCCATTGAACCAGCCCACCAGTGGTTATTCTACTAGAGCCACAGAGAACTCTACTGCCACTCACCAGTTTATTCGCTTCTTGGCCACTCATACTGGGGAAGGTACACCACAAACCAGCCTACCACAGCTGAACTCCACAAGGACCAGTGCTCGTTCAGAGCCTGCATCCGCCAGACCGCCGATACAATATGTAGATGACTACGATTACGATCAACAGTCGACGGAAACCCCAGTGCAACTGGCATACACCCTCTGTGACTACAACCCTTGCAGGCACCTTCAGAAGCCGTGCAGGGAACTGCAGAGTGCATCCCAATGTTTATGCCCTGGCATGTCAAGGGAAGATGAGGTTCCAGATCCACCAAGGCTCAGAGAGGTGTCTGAAGTTACAGACAGCTCTGCACAGATACGCTGGTGCGCCCCAAATTCAGTTGTTCGCACCTATGAGCTGGTGCTTCATGCCCAAGGCAACGAGGACGGGCGGTTTGTCTTGGACAATATTTACTCCACAGCAAGGCAGCACACTCTGTACAATCTGTCACCATACACCACTTACCACATTTGCGTGACTGCTTCCAACAAAGCAGGGTCAAGCCAGTCAGTGAGACAGGGAATCCCAGGTAATTCATGCACCAAATTTAAGACAAAGCCCAGCTACAAGTCTGTCTTTGCTGCTCTGTCTGCAGCAAGCGGACTCTTTCTCATTTCCACTATCATTTTGTCTGTATGTCTGTGTAAGACATGTAAAAAGCCTCAGAGTGAGCAATATGGTACACACTTAGTCTCTTATAAGAACCCAGCATTTGATTATCCGTTAAAACTACAAACCACTAATTAGTTCTAGGTGATCGTTTTACACATTCAAAGCTCACTGTCTCTATCACCTTGGTATGTTTTCATGAGACTCTCAAAATGTTCTTCAGCAAAACTATGAAACAACAGGCTTCATAGCCCTTATGTTTCTAAGGGAGAGAAAAACACACAAAAAAGAAAAACTAATAATGAAGGTAGTCAAACAGAAAAAAAAGCCTTTGGACTCTTGTTCATGTGCTAAGCAGCAGCAAACCTGGACACTAACCTTGAAAAGTTGTTTTTATAATCACCTACAAACACACCAGCATCCCTTTCACACAATGAGGGGCTGCCTGGCCAGCTGTCTGCCTCCAGCACCTCTCACGAATGCAGTCTGCTGGGAGCCAAGATGCATCTAGCTAAGCAAGATAGACTCAGCTTTTATTCACCTAAGTGAACCTGGGTTTCCAGTTTCTTCTAAAGTCCATATAAAGGTTCCTCAGGCTAGGTGGCAAGGTGCTGTGCAGATCTAACTCCATTAAATAACTCCGGTCACTGCAACTGCTCAACTCAACTTCAGTTCAGGAAAAAGAAACATGAAGATTAATTGTACAAATGTACAGTGCCGGATCCTTAGGGCAGGGATAATTGTTTTGTTCTGACTTTGTATGGTGTTTTTCACAACTGAGGCTCCCGAGTGCTCCCACAATACCGATTTACAGGCAGCGAGGAGGTTGCAGTACAGCAGTAACACACAGAAGGGGAGACAGCATTAGCATTTACTTCACAATTGGTTTTAAACAGAGATGATTGTTTGGTCCCTCCTACAGATTTAGCAGGCTGATAATTTACCTCATGCAAAGGCAAAGAGCCAAATAGTGAAATAATTTAATGAGTATGTTGCTGAGATTTGAACAATTGAAATCCCATCCACTAGCAGCACAGTTATGTCAACATCTTTCAAATGTACTTTTGGGTGCTAATTTCTGCTACAAAAATGGTAAGAGATGCAAAGAATCCCAGTTCTTCAGCAGGTTTTAGCTTGCCATTAAAATTCAAAGAGATGTTTGTGTAAGGGGAGGCATTTGTCCCAATCAAATAGCACCTATTCAGAGACCCACAGGTTTATGTTCCGGTAGCTGCATGTTTCTGCTGCTGTATACTGCTGTAGCTGTATAGATACAATATGTAAAATCCCCACAGATCTCAGAAAGTGAAAGGTGCTATACAGTACAAAAGAGTCTCTGTTCTGTTATTTTTTTTTCAATGCTTCCAGAATTAATGGAAATAAAAGCTACAGAGTTGAGTTCTGATTCTTTGTTAAAGATCTAAGTCTCTGTGTTGTCTTTACCATCTACAAAGTTTAGCCTAAGAAATGAATGCAAACATTTCATTGTTTTGGAACAAACTTTCAGCATATAGTAATATTTTTATTATGGTAAGTTTGTGTCATCGGATGTCATAAGAGCTTTTCTGTATGTGCATAAGGTGGTATGTGCCATCCTCACCACTACTAGCTTGCAGTCCTTGCATGCAAGTTTGTACTTTCCCCTACACCAGCGGCAGTGACACCAACCGTGGACGTTGCAAATTCCTGCCGTGCCTGTCTGGAGCTTGGCTGAGCCCCATGACTCAAAACTCACAATAGAGGCCAACTGCAAATGAAAAAGCTGGGATGGCATCACCTTTCACTGTGAAAATCTCTTTTATTTTCACATTCTGGCAGTTTAGACCTTTCTTTGTTTGGACTTAATTTTCTTTTTTTTTTTTTTCCAGCCTGTTTTTTTCCTGCGTGTTCTGAAAGGTCTAGTGAACAGGCACAGACGATACTTTAACTTATTTGAAGTGAGAAGGAACCTACAGTCTTTGATTCATATTATTCCAGACTGGGACAGAGATCATATACTCCCTTGTGTTTGTACAACATAGCTCTAAGAGACCTTGACTGGGATCTTTGGTATTACCAGAAACAAAAATAAGAGATTTATGAATAGAAAATGATACAGTCTTAAAGATTAGCTCTAGAGAAGGAAGACAAAAAAACAAGATACTGCATATGAAAATAAAGATTGTTCCGGCTTAACTATGAGTTAGACAAAAACAACAGGACATCATTTAAAATGAGATTTTGAGAGAATATGTCTAACTACCCTTTGCAACATTCTAAGTCACAATCGATGCAACACCTAACTAGAAAGCTACAAAGCTCAGCAGAAGATCTGCCAGTAACAGGATTTGACTTCCCCATGGTCAAGTGACCAGGGGACACTCCAACCTGACACTACCTGGAAGCACCACCTCATGCCAACCTCAGTCTCTGAAACCCTTCCCCACTGCGAGATGCAGGTTTATCACAACTGATTTCTCCAACCAATTCTCACCCAGCCTCTCCTGAATTTTCATAGGTCTCACACGTTACCTTCAAGCCAAGGACACATCAGAGCTTCCCATTCTTTAAAAGTGCCCTTCCTGAGAGCCAAACAAGTAAGTCTCACTCCCAAGTCTCACACTTGCTCCAACTTAAAGTAACCCTCAACAAACCCAGGTGAACCTGGGCTGATGAACCGACCTGAAGCACAGATCCCCCAGGCAGGGGTGGTGCCTCTCTCTTGCCTGATCACGCTCTACCCTTTCACAAGTGGGATGCAAGAGATTTACCAGCAGGATTCAAAATATGGGATTTTTATTTATTGACACCTGTGGTAAGTATCAGTGCTTCAGGTGCAGAAGTTCAGGGGTTTTTTCCCCACTACTACCTTATAGTTTCACCAGAGTTTATTTTAGTAATGACCAACTTCACTCTGTTGCCTTTTTTTCCAGTAGACCAACTTCACTCTGTTGCCTTTTTTCCTCTACTGGAATCAGTACTTCTCTTACTTCACTTTTTCCTGATATTTGTGCTAACCTACAACCACTCTTCCTTGGATATATTATATGTACACTCTGAAATAATTTTCAAGTTACAAAAGCTAATAGCTTTATTCTGCTGTATTTCAAACATTCCAGCTTGGATACAAAAGTCCTCTCCTGTGTTCCTGCCCAGAACTCACGTGTCTTGTAAATAACTGCTGCAGTCCAAAACCAGGTTAAATGACAGTTATTCAAAAGAGTAACTTTCCTTTGAGTAAGTCACAATATTCTCAAAGTATTCACGTAGAAAACCTTCATTTGAAAGCACTGCCTATTGTTAATTATTAAAACCAATGTATACTTCTAGAAAACCTGAATCATCACATTTTCCCCTTTAGATTTTTTTATTGTAGCTGCACCTACAGATTTAGAAAGTTAACCCTACAAAGCAAACATTATTTTAATCAATAGGGTAAAGTTACCTTGAAGCCCATTTTCCGGCTTCTACACAAACCAAGTATAACTGCAGAAAAAAACTAACGACAACCCCATTCCTCAACCTCAAAACCCAGAGCTGTCTGTCATTCTTGTAAACACAACTAATAACTGGTTTGGATGTTTCCTGTACTTTTATTACTGTGGATCGACACAAGCAGCGGAGCCAGTTCTCACAACGCTGCTCAGGATTGGGGCAGAGAGGAGAGGAACCAGGGAGCCAAACGGAAACTCTCCCTCCCACGCGTAAAGCCATGTTAGAAAGTTGCCCAGCTCTGCTCTGCCTGGTTGTTCCTCCCTCTCTTCCTGTTTGCATCCAACAGCAAATCCTGCTGGTACCTCCACCTCCAAAGACATAAACCTTTGGCAGTGTGACTGGGATACCCATATATCTCTGAAACAATTTTAAAAGCTAATAAAAGCCAATGCATTAAAAAAAACCCCAAACACTAAACTAATAATCCACTTACTGTTTCACAGTTCAACTTGTCCTGTTTCTCTGTGAGAGGAAGATCCCCTGGGGGAAGTGCAGAGAGCATTTACATATGTTTTTTGAAGAGCTTGTGTAATTTTTTTTCTGGCTTTTCTTCCTGACAAAAACTGTTATCTGCGTTCCTAAGAACCTTCTCCATGCACTTCTCAATGTTTTTCTTCTTCCTACAGGACCAACTTCAAGTAAAGGAAGTCCAAAACAGGCAACGATGCATGTGGGTGCATCCCCTGGGTGTCATGGCAGAAGTGCACGCTGCTCCGTCTCTAACTCAGCATTTGAAAATCAGTCGCTAAGTCTCATGGAGTCTCCCAGCAGAAACACTCAGGGAAAAGGAGCTGATCCCTGAAAAGGCCTCCACACAGCAAAAAAAAAAAAAAAAAAAAAAAAACCCGCAGAACTCTGTGACTGACCAAGAAAGAAAAGGCACAAAGAGACCTGCCAGAGCTCAACCCGGACACGAAACAGATTTGGGGGAGGAAAAAGTAGCAGCCAACGGATGTGGTGGTTAAGTGGGGT